CCAACATCAGCATTCCTGCCGGAGAGATTGATGGCGGGAGAATTTCTTTTGCCCTATGGGGAAGAAAGGTATAACATTTAGCAATATTTTTGAACAAGAATACTTTTACGAGTGAAACTTGATTTGCCTATATCATAATAATATTTGACTAATTACGTAGTTCCCTTCCTTTGTTTCCTTTTATGTGAAGATACTGACCAAAGTCCAATCCACAGGCTTCATTACGCTTCACGGGATTTTCAATTGCGTTGCTAGGACTCTCGTCACTACTTAATGATGTAGCTTTCTATTGGGTAGTTCTCATATTCTTCTTGCAAAGAGGTCCAATTGCTCCTCTCTCTGAGGAAATAACTGATCCTGGTGAGAAATATGTTGCTATTGGAGTAACAGTTTTGCTTTTAGGCTTGTTGGTATGCTTGCCATATCCTTTCCCATTTACAGACGAAACCCTCGCAAGTTTCTAGTAATGATTGCCAAATAAACTCTGGCAGCATCTATTTAGACTGGTAGTACATGAAATTTTTGAGAACTGAGAATACACGGTAGGGTTTTTTGTGAATCAAACTATCAACATTGGTTTATATGTAAAGTTTATATGCAAGGTGAATAATCGAACGTCGAAATTTTAGGTTGTCTCTTGTAATTTGTAAGTCTAGAATCTTTATTCGTTATGCTGTGTTCCACAAAATTAATTGCTTTTCAAAGTTTAAGATAATACCAGCTACTTACTAAATTTTTATTTTGAAAATTAGATCAACATTTTAGCATTACTTTACACATGCTAAAATGTTAAGAAAAATTCTTAAAAAACCCATTAATATTGTGTTTGGGGGAGGATGGGTGATTTAAGAGGAATTTGTGGGGAGGGAGATGTATTAAAGAAGATTTAACAAAAGCTATTGTGTTTGGTTGAGGTGTTGTATGGTGAATTGTGAGGAATATACGATGGGTTCTATTATTGCAGTAATACCCTCACATGGGAGGATTCTCGTCAAATTGGAGAATGAGTCATCTATAATTACAAATATAACCTCATCGTCTCTTTTGTTTCTTTATATCAATATACTCGATGACAAACGACAAACTCTCCTGAACATTGTTTTAGTTCCTCCCATCCAGTGGGCTTTTGGCGTTGTCACTTCTGCATCCGACGAGCGGCTATGCTGCTGCTGGTTGGTTTATATTATTATGCTGGTAGAACAAAAAGGGGCTTAAGTAGCATAAGTTACCGTATTCGAATTTGTTAGTAATGTAATTAGTGGTGGGTAGATGGACCTCGGTCCGCGGACCGGTCTGTAAGTCTGCGAATTTTGTGGATAACGGACCTGTTTTTTTCAAATCCGTATGATTATATCTAATTTTTTAGCTCGGCTCATTAAGTCCGCGGACTTAGCGAATTTAATTCGCGGGTTCGCGGGTTAGTTCGCGGACTTCACATTTAATATTTTTAAATATTATGATTTTAATATTAAGTTGTGTATTTAATTTTTTAAAATTATATGACATTAAAATTATGTTTAGTTGATGGCTTAAATATGTTTTTAGTCCCTTAAATTTAGGGTAAATCTGTTTTTGGTCCCTCAAATTTAAAATTGTTATTTTTATTCCCTGTAATTTCAAAAAATCTTATTTTAGTCTTTATATTCAAATTTTGTTAAGAAATTTATCAAACATTATTACATAAAATCTATCTATCGGTATCCCTATTTGTGAAAATATCACATTAAATCTGATTAATATCGCATAACTGTCTTAATTAGTCACTTTAAAATATGTTATTGGTGATCTAAGAGACTAAAACAAGATCTTTAAAAATTACAGGGACACAACAGTTTTAAATTTGAGGGACCAAAAATAAATTTATCTTAAATTTGAGGGACTAAAAATATATTTAAGCCTTAGTTGATATTTATTTGTCATTTGAATTATTTTTATGACATTTTGATGCTTTTATTATTGAACATTTGGTACTATTATTTAAGTATTTGTAATTATTTTTATTTTAATATTTTAATATTTTAATATTTAGTATTTTAAACTATTTTAACTATTGATAAATTTTAGTATGATAAAATTTAGCTTATAAATAAAAAATATTTTTTTTTCTAATTTTATGTATTTTTATTTTTTAAAATTTATTTTCTGAACCATTATTTAGGCTCGCAGACCGGTCCGTTATCCGCGGATTTTGGCGGGTCGGATACGGACTTAAAAAATAAGTTCATTTATTTTACGGACCGGACTTATCTAGCCCGTATAAAACGCAGGTTTTACGGACTGGGCCTTAAACGGGCCGGACCGGTCCATATACCCATCCCTAAATGTAATGCATTATTCAACTTCATGTTTGAATATCTTAACAAGATGATATATTATACCGGTAGAATAAAAACGAGATAAGATAACATCAATTACCATATTTAAATGTTAGTAAGCTAATGCATTATGCAACTCGATGCATCTAAAACAATCTATATATATATAAAATCTCACTTTTATACATGAATATAAAGATAGAAGTAAAATAATAATTGTATATATTATTTGCTTTTACAAGAAAATTCAATTATATAAAATATAATTTTAAAATATCATTTTATTACCTAATTTTATTCTATCAAATTATTACAAATTTCACTATAATTCATACTATTTCTTACATATTTTTTAATAAATCAATTCTCACATATTCATTCTCATTTTCTTTTCTTCCCCAAACAAATCATAAAAAATAGATAAAAACATTCATGAAAGAGTGGCCTAAAAATATTATTCTTAATAAAATTATTCTAATTTATATATAAAGATAAATTTCAAGAATAAATTTAATTTCTACTTTTGGTTATCCTAATAATTATACTTAATGTCACTCACCCTCTGTTTGGTAGAGGGTGAGAAATTGGAGGGAGTAGAATGAAATAGGTGAAAATTAATTTGATAGAAAAGGTAAGAAATAGAGTGAAATTTATAGTTGATTGGTAGAATGAAATTAAGTGAAAAATATAAATAATTTAGTATTTTAAAATTTTATTTTATGAAGTTAGGTTTTTATGTGAATATATAATAATAATAATAATAATAATAATAATAATAATA